GTTTGGAAGGTTTTTGTGGCGTTTGGAAGGTTTTTGAGGTTTCAAAATAAAATGCATATGTTTCAGAACTGTTTAGCTGTATTTACATTGAACCTTATGGGGAAATTTGCCTTGTGGTGCGACCAAATTCGATTTCCCTCGGGGTGTGACCAAATTCGGAGGGCGGATTAGCCGTATTTACATTGAACCTTATGGGGAAATTTGCCTTGTGGTGCGACCAAATTCGATTTCCCTCGGGGTGTGACCAAATTCGGAGGGCGGATTAGCCGTATTTACATTGAACCTTATGGGAAACGTTACCTCGACTTGAGACCAACTCGAGTTGCAACCAGAGTCACGGAACGGATTAAATTCGTAACTAGAGGTACCACTGTAATCTCATATATTAGTGAAATGAGATAGGAATGATAATTTCTAGCTGATCTCTAAAACGTATCTTCCACATATAGCAGGAGTTTATATTATGCATCTTATACTTATGATCCCTTTAATATTTTCAAAATTTATAGTGACCCAAGAGCAAGACATCATAAAGTCTCTATATTTACTCCCTTGTGTCATTTCAATTATGAATCCATTAGCATTGTATATGCTGCAAAAGATCAACTAAGATCTGCCAAAATTACTGTAGTTTGTTTTTTTTTAATGCATAAGGCAACTCTATAGCTATTAATATGAGGGCAAATGGTTCCCTTTTAGTTTCAGTGAGAAAAGCCTGACTGCAGGCTAGTTATTAGAAGCCGGACATGTTCAGTTCTACTTGGCCAATAGATTATATTTACTCAAAAAGTATCCAGACTCCATGTGATCTAAACCTTCTGACATTTCTGAATCAATTTCTGATGAAATACTTCTGATTTAGATGAATGGATATAAACAAACCTCAGGGGCTCTCGTAATCATTTAATTATAATTCACTGCATAAATTGCATTTAAAGATATATCAGAACTTTTTCAGTACAGTAATTTTTTGGTGAAAGATAATGATTATTTTTAATTCTGAATTCAGCATTTCAGAAGTCTTTAAACCACTGAAATAAATATTATAAAATGCATGTATGTCCAAAATAGCTCAGAAAAGCTATAATCCCAGTATTGCAGAAACACTAGTTTAACATGGCTTTTGAAAGAACTTTGGCTGTAGTTATGAGAATATGAATGTATTCAATCAGGATTGTTTGATTGTTTTTTCACAATGACTATGTGGGTTAAAAGTTGCATGCATGAATGAATGAAGTTATAATGCCTTGTTGCCAAAATAATTTTTTTAGAAGGAAGGGCATTTTTCGCAGAAAATGTGGAGTCATTCTGAAACTCTATATGGTCCATTGAAATAATGACTGTATTGAGATTCCTCAGGTTATTTTATGGTGTATGAAAGTACTCAAAAAAGTTGAAACCATGATGCCTTGGCCTTTGGCTACCTTCAGACATATTACTAAACTTAAGCAAAAAATCATAATAAAAAACATGATTCATATATAGCAATTATAATACTTTGGTGTATTCAGATAGGATTCTGTTCAGAAGCTCTTAAATGATGACAGAAGGTTAGCAAACTGTTTGTAAAGTGCAGTTTCACAGACTCAGTTTAATTCCTGCAAATTAAGAATACCTTGGGACGCACTAATTTTGGAAAAATAACCGTAAAATTGTTCAAGTCCTGACGTGAATTACTTGTTTTTGCTTTGTAGGATGATGGCCTTCCAGAAAATGAGCATCAGTTGTCAGTAGCTGGGAAGATAAAAAAACATTTCAACACAGGCCCTAAGCCCAACAGTACAGCTGCTGGAGTTTCCGTTATAGCAGTAAGCATCTGCAATGCATTTTTTTCTTCCAGTATTTATAAAATGTGGTGCTTTCTGAGGAGCCCCCTCCCCCCATGCTCAATCAATACATTCAATTTTAATTGCAGTGAAAAACAGATATTTCGTTATCCCATCATTGGGAGATCACACTTTTTAATTGCTTCATCGTCCTAAGCTGCTAGGTAGCATGCATATTTCTTATTAAAAATCAGTCCCTGTGTGGAGGAAAATTCAACACACTTTCATCTTTCACTGAGATGGCCATTTAAATAGCATTTCCTTGGAAGAAAAAAAAAATCACATCCCAATTATAAGCAAGAGATACTTTATAATGCTTAAAATGAGCATATTAAGGACAAAGGAGTGCAGCCATTTTGGACATAGACATGGCTGCTGACTTCAATTGGTTTGACCATATTACCTGAATTGACTCAATACAGGTCACTACAAAGGCTTCCAGCCTTCCTATGCCACACAAGGCTAATCCATGCAGCGTTCTGTGTTTGAGAGATTGGCAATGCACTGCCAGCCCAGCTGAAGATAGTGGTACAATTCCCTTGCCTGGGCAGTGATAAGATTTTCCCTAACTCTGGTGAAACTTTAATAGCCATATTTAATTCCATTTTTAAGGACACCAAAGAGATGTATGATAGGTAGGTAGATAGGTAGGTAGGTACATAGATAGATAGATAGATAGATAGATAGATAGATAGATAGATAGATAGATAGTCATCATAAATTTGTATCCTAGAGTGGAAATGGATGGAGAGGTAGGGGTGTGTGTGTGTGTGTGTGTATTCCCGTTTCTACTCTAGGATACATCTGGATGTATGCTCGTGGATTTTATTCCTTTTTAAATAGCTTTCTTCTGCACACAATGTGACTAAGTGCTTCTCTCCAGGCAGGAATTAAACTCGCCTGAGATTTAAATAGAGTTCAACATAAACCTTCCAACATACTGCAGCTGTACAGCAGGACATAGTTTGGGAGATTATGGGGAGACCTGTTTAATATGTCAGCTGTACATCATAGTGCAGATGGAAATGAACCAGGTTTACTTTGACCCTTTGCCAAGAACATATATTTAAAATGTATATTTAACAGTAGTGAAAGGATTAGTATTTACTGATCACCCAAACATGTGTATGAAGACCTTGAGTTTCTACTAATTAATATAATGGAGTAGTCATCTTTTTAATGTTCCCATCTTTTTTCTTTAAGTCTGCCTGCATTTTAAGCTTCCTTCCATGATTATGCCTCCCTGAACCATGCTCCAGACTGAAACGTCATAATGATTCATTGAACATGATCATTCACCACATCAGACTGATCGGTGTCTCTTCCCTACCTTCACTAAATTGCAGGTGGTACAACCAGAAATGTGCACTTTGGGTAGCTGTTGTACTAGGCAGAGGCTGATTTTAAGTCAGCAGAAATAAAAACAGCTCAGTTGGCAGAATTGGCAAATTCTCCCTCCTTACCATGGAAGACAATATGTCATGTTTTCCTTAAATTTGGACTTTATTGTTCCTATTATTTTAATTTCATCATCTAACATACCGTCAATATTGTTTTATTCTTTTTTTTTTAAGTAGGAAACCACCATAGCTTTCCCACAACTAAAACATCCCATTGTATGCATTCTTCATACAAATTGCCAGGTATATTCTCAACTGTCCAGCTGAAACCCTTTTCAATTGGACTGCCAGCACGCTTGTCCATGAGATGTACCGCTCAGGTCCTCTACTCTGCAGTTTTTTGTAGTTCTTAAAACTCTTCAGAATGCTTTGCTAGTCCCTTTTGCACCCATTTTTGCCTTCTTTATTGTGTTTATTTTTTTTTTAATTTAATTTGCAAGATTTGCAGTAAAAGTTTATTATTTTTAGTAGTTCAACTATTATAGCTAAGAAAAGGCATTGCACTGCAGCTTCTCACTGAGAATCAAAAATGATAGGGGAATAAAGCAATACACAGATCTTTGCATTGTGTTTAGCACTATGTTGTTTTGGCACCTTATCAGTTTGCTACTGGACTTGCGTTATCCTATAGTTCTCCATCACTTTGGTTCATTATAATCTTGAACAGAAACCCTGTAGCTCCATTTAACTTTTCTAAAACATTGGCTATTTATTTTTGCTAGACAACACTAATAAACCACTCTGACTTTCATCAACTTTACAATAGACAATCTCAGTAGCAATAAAAGCATGTTTGTTAGTGTTTCAAATCCAGTTCTGATGTACTATCCTGTATTTGTCAGTATAATAGTGTAATGTTTAAAATGTTGGACTTGGACTGGAGTTCCCTGTGTGGCTTTGGCTAGTCTACCCCTTGCTCTTAGTCTAATATACTTCAAAGGTTTCTTGTTGTGGAGGTAAAATTATGTATGCTGCCTTGATCCCTGAAAGAAAATATGGGATACAAGTGTAGTAATTAAGTCCCACTGAATACGGGAAGGAAACTAGATGTAGGATTACAGCCTGAATCTAGGCTTAGCAAGGACATGCCAAATAACCATGTATATAAAATCTAAATATTGGCTTCTCTATTCACAAGGCTTCCTCATTCCCTTTAAATAAGTGATGGGGTATTCATTATTCTTACAAATACAAGGTTTTCCATTCTACTTTTTTCCACAAAAGAATGACACTCAGGGAGTCTAATAATAAAAATAATAAGAAAATAAAAGACAAAATATTTAGCTTACAACATTACATCATCCATTACAACATGAAGTTTGGAACACTATAGGCATATAATATGAACATTATTAAAACAATTCAAAATGTTACACTAAAAGGTTGACTGATCTTTGTGTCTGAAGCTTTCTCATCTCCTGAAGTTCACTGAAAGTGGTATTCTGGAGTGGGTGAGAAGCTTAATTCCTACAGCAAAGCTTCAATCTTCTTCATGTCTAATTTTTAGACATGAAAAATTCTTACACAATATTATAGGTAGCCTTATGCTTAACTTGTCATGTTTAAAGATAACTGTGTATTTGCATCACTACAAGAGTACACATTAAGGAAGCCAAAGCTGCTTATGGAGCCCTAAAACACATACATTACTTATTAATATGCAGCACCATATTAGTCTGATGCCAAAAAAGAGATGTGGCCATCCTTTTCAGTCAACCCGGCTTTTAAATCTGGTATTCTTTGAATCAACCCCCAAAACCCCAAAGTAAAAGTGAACATACCTCTGACATTTTTAACATGGACTATGAAATTGTATAGCAGCTGTTTAGAGTTGCTTTTCTTTACATATTTTGTAAAAGTCCACTTTGCTCAATTCCTCTTGATGCTGGAAGAATGAGACATTTTGCTCAAAGAAACTTATCTCTTAAAGATGAAAGGCAGTTGACATTTCCGTGGATTTGATGGCATATTCACATATCTCTTCTATTCCATCTGTCAGTTGGAGACATTTAAAGGGAAAATACGATGACAAACTTTAAGAACTGTTGATGTTGATATTTAGGCACTTATCATTGCATCTGCCATTTGTGCAAATGCATATTGAGTATTAGTACCTATTTTGAAAGTTTCTTGAAAAAATATGTTTCTAAACACCCATTTTTCAGGTTTTTAAATGAAATTTCTCTCTCTGTGGCCATGCTTGTCACTGAGGCTAATGTAATCTTCTCTCTGAGGTTTTATTTGCAATAAATAGGTAAGGCAACAGCAGCAGCAGTAAACTATTTTCTTTACACTCTTTGATTACACCATAGACTGAAAAAATGCTTTAAAAATAAGTAATTGCTTCAAATGTGCATGGACTTTCTAGCAATTTGTCACTGTTTTCTCTGAGTGTTTCAAACTAGTGACTTAACTGCTGCCTTGTGGTGTCTCTAGTCACTAAAGAGGAGAGCTGGTAATTAGGGTTTAACTGAACACAGATGTCTTGAAAGACTTATAGTGAAGTGGTATTGCCCTATAGAATTGACTAATAACATTTTCCTGTTTTGAAATTAATAAAAACAAATGAGCCCTTCTTTTTTAAAAAATTAACAGGCAGATTATATTATATACTAGTGAGTTGCAATCCAATTTATGTTCCTGTTGTGACTGTTCACAGTATTATATTGTGTGTACTAAGATGCTATTATGCATGTTGTTTCAAGCAGACACAAGAAAAACCAACTTTGTTTAGATTTTTTGAGGTTCCTGTTTACCTAAGAAAGTAAATTATTGTTTGAGGCTTGTAAGAACTATGTAGTGATGAGAAGGAAAAGACAAAATATGATGAAAATATATGACCTGCGACTCTCAGAATGGTAAATACAATCCAATGAATGGGATATTACATGATTTCCACCTGCCCTCTATTTTTACAGTGTATATCCTATGGCACTTTTCAGTTACACTGACTACCAAGAGGCAAGTAGGATTTAACTGGGGTTCATCAGACATGGGTAGACAAATGGAGGCATGACATACTATACCCCTGATGTCTTTCTGCTCACAGAGCTTAAGGGAAGCTGGGTTGCATATACCATTCTGAGAGCTTCTCTATATTCATTTCTGCAGCCACCAAACACCAGGACCTAGGTAGCTCCTAAAGTTACTGCACTGCATATAGTTGTTTAAAGTGTGAAGATCCATGAGTTCAATTCCCGGTAGAAGATCTGAATGCCATAGAATAACATTTGGCTACCCACAGTTCAAAAATCCCAAAGAGGATGAAACTGGTCGCCTGGTGCTTGCCTCCCAGTGGTCAGTATAGCTGAAAAACAGGACCTGCAAGCAGTTGTGTCTGGAGAATCATTCTGTTAGCTTGATTGAATAACATTAAAAGAATAATAAATTATATATTAATATGAATATCAATTTAAACTGGTAAGCAACATTTTGGTAGCATTTATAGAAAAGCTAAACTTTCCAGAATTCCAGAACATAAAGAAAAACTAATATAACCTATAGTTGCTAGGGTTAAATCATATCACATTTCTGTCCAACCAAAGCTTATTTGATTAAGAGTGAACTCCTGTGCACACTTAA